AAGAGATTGGAAACCATCAGTCCTTGTCTGCTCAATAGAGAAAGAGAGAGACAATCATATGACAACTGCAATTAGTAATGTGCATGAAGCATAAAAACACACTGGTGGAGAAACAAAGTAAGCTACAAATAGGTAGCTTGATAAACATCCAGCAAGCACCAGAGAACATATATATATATAAAAGTTAAGCACCAATGTGGCTATAAATGAATTTTGCCGGAAAATCACTTACTTGATTGTAACAGGCCAACTCAAAAAGTAATTAACAACTACACAAGACCCAAAACCAAGCTAAACATCTAATTATGCTCAGCATAGCAAAATGCTAAAATAAAAAACACAATCTTTAGGTTTGTATTTATGATTACTGCCAAAATCTAAAAAAAGGTGACGTAGGTATATGATAGCTCACCTGCAAGAGTATTTTAGTCCGTTCTAAAGGTGCAAGGGTGGTTTTAGCAAAAGCTCCAGCAGCGCCACCAGCAATTAGCTCTTTCACATAAACAGGCAAACAATCAATGTGGGAAACCTCTCTGTGTGCGGTTGAACCATCAACGAGGTCGGCCATGTTTGCTGTCAATGTAGGCCCTTGAGGAGAACTCATATCAAAACATCCAACTCAAACCAATTATATTACCAAAGTCTTCCTCAATTCAACGAGTTTGTCAAATTACGATTACCCACCCTGAAGGTTGAAGAACTCTTTATCCCATCTATCTCTTGGGATACAAAAAGAAAACGATTTCTGTTCAAAGGGAAGATTCAATGGCCTGGGAACATCCAGATGAGAGCCGGGCAAGTTCACAAGCCGATCCTTTTCTTCAATAACAACAAGATTCATCCAAGGACACGAGAAAAACAGACGACAAAGATACCCAAAACCTACCCTTTCAGTTACAACGCTGCTCCCATGGGATCTTTATCATAAAAAGCTTAACACCTTTTTTCTCAAACTAATCAATCTCAATCTAGATTCATCAAAAGTCTTCCTTTAAAGCAACCAAAGCAACCACTTTCATAAATAACATAACCCTCAAGTACTCTGAAAAAAATCAATTTAAAGAGTTTCCACTGATTCTAGGTTCAAATCATTCAATACAAATGTGAGATTAATCCAAGGCGGGTTCAGAAAACGTACCAGAAAAAAAAAAGGAGGTTTCAATCAAAGGAGAACAGGCATATAAATTTTGGGTAGGAACAAGAATCTAGAAATACCTGTTCTCCTTCAGAGAAAGGAGGAGGAGGTTTCTTTACGGAGGTTTTCTTCCCCCTTCCTTTCAGAAAGCACGAATTCGTTTGTTTGCTGTGCGCTGCTTTGTTGAAATTTAGAAGGGGAAGCGATGTGGTGCTGACTGTGGTACCCTAAGGTCGGTGGATCTCAAACCTAATCCACGTTCGATGTTCCTACTGTGCGTAAAATGATTTATTAGGGCGCAACAACATAGGAGATTCGCTGATTTGGACGGACCAGGATGCCCATTTAGAAACATTTGTTTGATTTTCTCAGTTTTCACCTGGACCTAGCTAACATCCTCATTCAGTTGCTTTTTCTATTCTAGATAAGTACCGGACGAAGAAGAGTCCTTGCACAACTCAAAAATGAAGCTAACATCCTCATTCAGTTGCTTTTTCTATTCTAGATAAGCACCGGAGGAAGAAGAATCCCTTAAATTCCGGTTACTGACTCTACTTTTCCTATATATGGATGTAACCCATGGTGATATAGCAAGTTTTGCAGAAAAATTTGGATATATATCAAGAACCTCATTCTTTTAAATTTTAATTAAAATTTTAAACAGATTTATTAATTTTTAAAATAGATATTTTATTTTAAAAATTATCTTTTATTAAATGCATAAATCCAACAGTTAATATTTTCGTTGATAATTAAAAATTAATTTTATTATTTATTAATCTTAAAAATAATTATTATATAATTTTATTAATTTTAAAAAAAACTCTCGATCAAGCTCCTCAAGGAAGCTCTGGTCGGGCTCTTTAAGGAAGCATAGGTGCTCCATTGGAGAGCTCGATCAGAGCTCCAAATCTATTGCTTGGGTGTCCTTTGAATGAACGATTGATGCAATTTAAAAAAAATTTAAAAATAAATATTTTATATTTAATATTAACATCACATCTGAAATGCAATATTTATTTTAAAAATAAAAATATTTTAATTTTTATTAAAAAAATAAATTAATAACAAAGTTAGAAAGGTTCATTTCATCGTTTGTGAGTTTCATATGTAAGTACCTTTTTTGTGACCGTATGTAAGTATCATATACAAGGCCAAGTTGTCGTGGTTGTGATACAAATGGCGGTTTTGAATTTGATTACGTTAAAGACGCAAATAATGTTGCTTTCAGACCTACGTATCAGTGGTATCAACAATTTCGTAGACAGTGCCATCTGCTTTTGGTCTTAGTCACCTATCAAGTTTTTTACAACATTCTGTCGTAATCAAGTTGTTTTGCTCAATGTTCAAGGCAAGAATTTGTCTCCAAGTAGCTATTGGCATCATAGGAACAAACTTTTGAAGGTGCGGCGGGAGCCAGGAACTGCCTAAGTTAACCCTCCCATCATCGTATATAACCTTAAAATACCAGAACATGAATGCCTTTCCAGGTAGGAATGTCTCATCATACATGTGGAAAATCTGTCAAGGAGACTCAGACAAATTACCGGCTGTCCCATCTTTCATGGGAAAAGGAGAGAAGGGTTGGTCATCATAGATGCCTTATAATTGAAGGAAGCTAGTTGACTAGTGAAACCAAATTCTAATACTTGTAGTAGGAAATATTCATTGTCTTTAATTTCCACAAACTTTCGTCATGGAAACAACTGCAATTCTTTCATGAAAAGCACGAATCTACCTACTAGCTTTACATAGATTATCCACTAACATCAACAAGCTTCTTCCTCTTGTCTTGCTCCCTCTTTCTCCTTGTCTTGCTTAGAAATCGTGTCTGGGTTTCTGAAGGAACATGTCCTAGACAACGATATGGTGCTCAGGGACCTGGGATGGTATGTTGTAACTCTATGACCCTTGCCATCATAGATCACAGCATCATCATGATCATCTGATACTTTACATTTTTCACCTAATATAATCGTTTTTGTCCAAACCGATTCTTCGGCTTTTGATTTCCCTTTCTCCCGAATCTTGTTCACCGAAATGCTTCTTTTGTGCTTCACGCTCAAGGTTGAGCTTAGTTTTCGCGACGACGTGGACTTTGTCATGAAATTGTTGCACGAATAGGTCTCTCTCAATGTCCTCATACCTGGTGGTGGAGGCAATTCTTGGATCACTTCCTCTGAGTTGTCTGTTCTCTCGTCCGTTTCTAATGTTATTGATGTGGTGACAACTGGGGGTGGTACCAACGTAGTTTCTGCTGCGTTATTGGATGGTGGAACATCCAATTCTGACTTCTCTGCCAAATGAGGGGCTGCTGATGAATCGGCTGACGGTTTTCTCCGGAACCCGCATAGACCAGTGATTATAGCAATGGTTGCAGCCATGCCTGCCACCAGGAGAGAAAATGGCAGTGCCGGATGTATTATGGGATCACCATCTAAAGGAATCATCCTTCCCATCGTTTCAAACATAAAGCATGGGAGTCCGAAGAGTTGAAAACCGGTATTGCAAGGTTGTTTTCGATTTCCCTAGGAGAGAAAACGGTGTTGGAGAGATGAACTGGATGTGTTTGTGTCTGTGTTTGGTTTTGCCTTGGTGCCATCTCCTGTCAAAGAAGAAAATTTGCTTGAATTAAGGAGTGGAAGGGAAGGAAAACAGAGGTGAGGAGGCAGAGTTGCAAGTTGTTTTACAGCTCCTTCAAGGTTTCCATTTTTGGTAAAGCAAGCTCATTGGCAGTTATGGTAGTTATTCCCTTCTCAACTTTTGATTGTAAATTTGGAATTGACACGCTGATGATGTCTTCAACTCTCCCATGTTCGTTAACCTAGCGTGGACCTATCTACCTAGGTGTGCTTCCTATGGCCTCTAGCATGGGCCAATCCTTGGCCCAAGTTGGAAAATCAAACTTTATTTCTATTTAAAATTCATTTTACTTTTCATCAACAATTTACCTTTGATATTTATTTTAAATAATGAAGTGATTAATTTTAACATTAAAGTTTGACAATATACGAAATTTGTACTTAATCATACCATTATCACATCATTTAGCCAAAATTTAACTCGAACTCAAAAGTCAACTAGTTCTTCCAAGATACTAATTGATTTTATTTTTATTTTAAAAACGTGCAAGAGATTTATAAAAAAAAAATTAAACGAATTATAAATAATAAAGATTTAATTTGTTTCCAATCATTATCGGAAGATAATTAAAAAAATCAAATTTACCAACTTTGTTGTCATGTCACATTGTTAAAATTCAAGAAAAGACAATAAGTAGATTCCAAATTAAGATCAAAAGTTAATGAACATATTTTCCTTGTGAAACATTAATAAAATTAATAATGTTAAAAAAATAAATTAGATGACCTAAAAGTTAGGTGGTGTTATTTATTTAGAAAATAAAAAAGAAAGATTTAAACCCGATTCTAAAAAAAAATTATATATCGAGATACACCGAGGGATTTTAGTTTTGTTTTAAAGTTATATTATAATTTAGAAAGAAAATACAAATGAAATTGATATACATTATGTCAACTGTCAAGGTACTTTAAAGTCTAATAGTGAAAGCAACAGCATAGGTCTTTACTCCAAATTTCATCACCTTTTTTTAAGTTCTGTTGCTAACTTTAATGAATAAAATTCTGATTTGGATTTTTGCTTTGACTAAAGAAAAAACAAACAATAGCTAGTAAGTAAATTTGTATAAATTATATTGATAAATATTAATTAATCATAATAAAAATTGTTATAATGAGGATTGAAGCCGACAGAGAGACGTTGGATTAGAAAGGGAATGGAGCATGTGGGCTTCCTCACGTCTTCTTCTCCTGTACTATAAAAGCCCCCTCTTTGATTTTCCTTCATTTTCTTGTTGGCTTTTTTTTTTTCTTATTTATTTACCAATTCAAGATCAACCCAGATTGCTTTGCTTTGGAAAGAAGTGGTTTTTGGTGTTTCTTGGTATCTTTTGCGTATTTATATATTAATATAAAATATATTTGATTGATTGTTCTCTTTCTTTTCAGAGAGGTTTTATTGGCAGGAGGACAATTTTTATCTCTTCAAAGGCTTTTGCTTTTTGTTTTCTTTAGTGAAACTCAATGATTTGAGATTGGAATAACAACAAAAACTGATATAGATAGAAGAGAGATATTGTGAATGGAAGACGGGGAAGCCAGAAGCAAGTTCAAAAGGGTGTGTGTTTTCTGTGGAAGCAACTCTGGCCACAGACAAGTCTTCAGCGATGCTGCTCTTGAATTGGGCAATGAACTGGTTTGCGTTTTTTGCTTTAACACTATCTCTATACACATTATTTTGAATAAAGTTTGTGTTATCGGTCTCAAAAGATGGAACTTTTTTAATCGTTTGAGTACTTATCTTGAGGTGGTGGTAGGTGGGTGTTTGTCTTTTCTTGGAAACTGGGGTGGTTGTTTTAGATTATTGGAGTTCAATGTTTCCAACCATTTATTGGGTTTTAGTTTCTGGTGGGAAAGTGAGTTGGCTGATGTTTTTGATTCCATGACGATGGAGTTGTCATTTGGTGTTTCATGTACTGAATTGGGGTTGCTCTGTTTCGTGTCATGACACTGTTGACCATCAAGGTAGTTTCTGCTGACAGGGTATTGCTCTTTTTGACTTTACGTGAGTAAATATCATGAGTTGAAAATTAGGCGTTTGATGCAAGCGAGTTATTTGGCAAAATGGATCTTTTCTAGTTTTCTGTAGCTTGACTTCTATGTCTAAATTGTTTTCCTTTTTTAAATGATTTGTGGACTTATGTCTTCCTTATGGTTGATGTTAATTACAGGTGGAGAGGAAGATAAACTTGGTGTATGGTGGGGGAAGTGTTGGGTTGATGGGTTTGATATCCCAGACAGTGTATGATGGAGGTTGTCATGTTCTTGGGTAAGTAAAGAACTTCCCTTGCCTTGGAGAGCCTATTTTTAATGCTTTTCCCTGCAGAACCTGTTACAAGTTGCAAGCAGCTTCCTTCTTGGTCACATTAGGTGTATTACTAAGTGAAAAATTGTTCTTTATATGCAGGATAATTCCAAAAGCTCTCATGCCTCTTGAGGTATCTGAACTAGCAACCATTATAACTATTGTTTACCAAATATTGGGTCCAAGTGTCATGTTTAATATGATTTTATTAAGTCTGACGTTTTCTTTCCTGCATTTACCATTTTAAGGTTTTATACAGTTTTATCATTCACGTCACCGAATTTGGTACATTAGTAATGGTTGATGTTGCTCAATGGCGCAAGGGTTTTTATTATTAGGACAAATATTGGTAAAAGAGTTTGCTGGAATATCTTTGATGTCAATTGTTGCTTTCTTTAACTGTAAGTATTTATGTCTTGGCTGCTGAAGATTTGAGATAGATTGACCATTTGTGCATAATCCTGGATAATATTGACAGATATCAGGACAAACAGTTGGAGAAGTTAGAACTGTTTCAGACATGCATGAGCGTAAAGCTGCAATGGCCCGAGAAGCTGATGCCTTTATTGCTCTTCCTGGTAATAATACCTTGATATTTGTCATCAATAGTAAAGAATGAAAAGGAAAATGTTGGTGAGGTCTTGTTTTCTAATAATAGAGCTAGTTCTAACATTAAAATTTATTATTTTAGGAGGATATGGAACAATGGAAGAGTTGCTGGAGATGATAACATGGTCCCAACTTGGAATACATAAGAAAACAGTAAGGCATCATTTTTCAAGCTGGAAGAATTAACATGATCCCAACTTAGAATTAATGGTGCTATCTGCTTTACATGTAATGCAGGTTGGTTTGCTAAATGTTGATGGGTACTATAATAATTTACTTGCTTTGTTTGACAATGGCGTTGAAGAGGGTTTCATTAAGCCAGGTGCTAGGCATATAGTTGTCTCTGCTCCAACAGCCAAAGAACTTTTGATGCAGATGGAGGTATGAGCCTAACATTTTGTTGTGCCTTGTGATTAATTAGTTGGCCTTATTTTCTCCTTTGCTATAAAAAAATGACTTGAGAAACTCGAGGAGATGAAAGGAACGGCTAACCTGCCAGTTAAAGCAATTCAAAACTTTTCAAAAACATATGGTCCAACTTGAATCTGTGAATGATTCCAAGTCTGGCTCAGCAGCCGTCAGTTTGTTGTCAACTGTTTTCCTTTCCTTTTTGTGTGTCGGTGTGTGCTTTCTCGGTACTATAACATTAGATGGGAGCTCGCCATGCCAGCAGGTTTTCATTAAACTTCTACATGTAGGAGAACATGTGGGAAAAGACTATTACTAATTGTAGCAATTAGGCCTCGGATTACAA